ATATTATTAATTATATTTTCAGTTGACAGATATATGAAGTTGGATTTTTTTAATAACATTTTGTATTGCAGTTTCTAGGCTTTTCATTTTTAATCCACACCCCAATAGAACACGGAACCATCCTTAAAAGCAAGCAGCCTTCTAAGCTACCCATATAAAAATCATCGTATCAGCGGGTATCGAAGTTACCTGATTATTCTTCTCTAGCGCAGCAAAGCGATTCCTGGCGATCCAAACAGCAGCGGTTGCTTGTCCCTTTTCTGGCTCTGATGTCGCATCGCCCCCTTCCCTTGGGACTTGGTACAATTCGTACGTCCAATTATCCCCAATGCGCCACGTGAGTAACATGCTGAACTCAGCGTGGTTTAGAGACATACTGCAAAATTTAGTTAACACCGCCTTAATTAGAAAACCCAACTCGATTAAATTTGTGTTTCCTTCCCTTCAAGGCCAAAATTGCTTGCAATCTGACTGGGTCGAAATAGTTACAAGTAAATTCAGTACACATTTTCCCTCTGCCTAAGACCCGACTCATATGTTAAACATTTATAACGGGCTTAAGGATAGACTCAAAATTATTCAGAATAAATCGTCATACTCGTGACTCGTAGAGTACGCATCTGACAAATAGTAAATTTTACAGGGCAGCCATTTCAAAATAATATAATCATGTTAGTTTTTGTCATAACTATTTTAATTCATATTCTGTTATTATGAAAATTGCATACGATCAAAATTTGTTTTGAAACTAATAACATTAAAATACACAGTGTTCTAGAAAATACTTTTAAAACCGTCACTTTATCATGATTAATTTGAAATTTAAAACACATGTTTTTATCATGTAGTCTTAATTTAGTTTTATTCAAATATGTTAAAAGTGGATTTTGGATTTTTTAAATCCGACATTGTCTCTCACGACGAATGTTTATCGTTAACAAAATTCACTAAGTCGAATAATAGTCTTCTTAACTTGTACGAATTGAAAATTTACCTGTGTGGTTGAAATCTTCCGCTACCCTTGATTTCCATTACAGGGGAATCTTTATTCGTCTGCATGTCCAGTTTACGCAATTGTCTAAAAAGAAATTACAAAACTTAAGAACTATAAATTTTACTATTTCAAAATAACAATATAGCAAAAAAAAATTTTTTAAACTGAAATACAGTAAAAAAATTTTATCTAAAGTTATATACTTTTCTTTAATGTAGAAGAGCATGTTATTATGAACAGCGTATGCTGGTCTTTCTCTTCGCAGCTTGAAGAGAATCATACCAGCGTCGTGACCCGCCGCAAACAAGTTCAATGTTGGATGGGATGATAGCACCCAGTAGCTGTAATGAATATTTAAATTACTTGACTAAAATTACATATTGTGAAACTTATTATATTATTAATTTTAATTGAATTAAAAAGATTTTTATAGTTTATTTTAACATACATTGTAAACTCTTTATAACAAAATTCAAGGGACCGAGCATTTTATACGCTATAGAGAGGATTCGTTATAGGGAGGGAAGAATTAATGTATGGGTATTGGGTTACACCAAATAAATTTATTAGTGAGTGTTACGTTATAACGAATGATGTTATAAGGAGTCTACACTGTATTTATATATTTCACTAATATGCAACTTACAACAACTTAACTTAAAGTAAATAATAAACTATGCTATGCTAAGCCTAAAACCTTCTCGTTGACATATGTGTTCTTCGTTTCACTTTCCTAATATTTTTGAAACAAATATCTAATATTTAAGAATCTCTTCGAATGATGAAATACGAATTCCTTTATAATTAATTTGGATTATGTGATTTCTCCCACATATCACATATATTGACTGAATGAATTGCCGTCTTCTTAAAAGTAAACGTTGTTGTACTAACCGTTCATGCTCTCGTCGGTATGTATTCATGCAGACACGTTTCGGCAAGTCCCATACTCGGATTGATTTGTCCTCACTATTGGACACTACAAGTTCGTTTCGCGCGTGGAAAAGTGCGCATGATACGTTGTTGTAGTGACCACGGAATGTGTCTACCTCCCATGCCTGAAATGAAAATATATTTCTCGAAAAATTATTTAAATAAAACACTTAATTATCATCTCACCAATGGCTTGGTAATAAAGTAAATTTTTTAATTGTACGTTTGGATACGGTAGAAACAATTGTGCATCTTTTTTACAGATAATTTTTCTTTGTTCCTGTTTATACACACTTATACAATTATACATATGATATCGCAACTGAACAAGAAAGACACATATTATATAGAACTTATATTTTTTTTATATTGGTGCTTCTGGTTTAAGCATTTTAAAATGTTCCAAATCTTCTTTTATTATTACCATATATAATTACCTTAGCATCATTCATTCTCCACAGCTTGACTTGTCTGTCATCTGCAGCAGAAACTATTAATGGTAATTTAGGGTGGAATGCTGCCCAGTTTACTCCTCTGTCATGGCCTTCTAGTACATGTTTGACAACTGCATCTGCCTGTCATATACAATTAATTAATATAGTTGGAGATACTGCCACTTTACACCCATTGCATTTTTTGCCAAGCCCCTTTGTAGGCATACACAAATCCCATGTTCATCATAATTGGATGAAATATTTACAAACACAGAAGACAAACATACAAAAAATTGAATTTCATAGATAGTTTACATACATGTAGTAACAGACTATTTGCATACAATGATCTGTAGACAATAGGTAGAGTGGGGTTTGGTCTGGTAAGATTTTTTGGAAGCTGGAAAATGATAGACAACTTATCAAACAAGATGAAAAGAGTTTTGTCTAAGAAAACCTTATTATTACTTGTATTCCAGGCAACACATAATTGTGAAAAAAAAAACAGAAGTAGAGATAGTAGTTTACCTGTCCAAACAAATCAGTTGCCTGTGGGTTCCTCAAATGATCAGCCAGGCCACTAGGTCCAGGAGCCACACTTTTTTTTCTCAACCCTGAGAAGTCCCAAACACGGACTGACTGGTCCAATGAAGCCGACACAAGTAGATCTTCAGTGGGGTGGAATTGTGCACACATCACATAGTGGTTATGGCCTGTGAGAACACTTATACATTGCCGGGATTGCCAGTTCCAAATCCTAATAGTCTGAAAAAGGTTACGTATAATGAAGCTGTAAGCAATTTCCAAGTGTAGGGAAAGATGATGTATATGATGATGGATTTAAAAACTACAAGTTATTTTTGTGATTATGCTTAACAGTATTAAAGCACTACACAATCTGTCAGAAATAACACATCATGTATAATGATTTATAATTATATTTATAGAATAGTATGTATCAAACCTGATCATCTGAAGCACTAAGAATCCAAGGGTACTCATGGTGAAAGAATGTAGTCCTAATATAATCCAAATGCCCTAAAAGGGTGAAAAGGCATCTTCTTTGCTTGTAATTCCATATCTAATATTAAAAGAAAAATAAATTAGACATCTAAGATGTAAAAGGTATGGTGTAGGTATGTTAGATTATCCTAGAAGTTATTACTCTAATAAGTTTGTGTTTCATTCTCTTTCATTAATTATATTAATTTTAGAAGAATGTAAAAAGCTCCACAAAATATGAAACTCAATAATAACACCAATTCCACTTATGTATAATAAGTATAGATTCATATTTATTGATTATTAATTATACAGCAGTAGTCCCAGAACACTGAAAGTTGTCTAGAGGGTGTGTCATGTCATGTGAAAAGTAGTTTAGTACATTTCTATAGAATATACATTATACTACCTACGATTAAGGTACATGCACTTTTTTAATAATATGATAACGATAAACCTGTACTTTATAGCCTTATTAATTAAGGAGCAACTAAAAAACATGTAAAGTTGTTTCTGATGTTCCCTAAAACAAACCTTGATTTTATAGTCATCGCCTCCAGATACAAATAAGGGCTGCTGAATATGGAAGCAGATCCCACGAACAGGGCCGTCGTGTTCATCAAATTTCTCCAATAGAGTGCACATACGATAATCCCACAGCTGAATTACACCATTGTGTAAACTAGCTAAGACCCATGGACGCTTAGCATGAAATGAAATTCCTTTTACCCGCGCCGACTTCGTTTCAAACTTTGTCAACATTTTAAGGACAACAGTAGCGCAATTATAATTTATTTTCTCTTAAAATTTTGCCGAAATATTATAACAATACGCAAGCAGTTTCATGCATGTTAACGTCAAACTAGCTGACGTGACACGTTTAACTAGTGATATGATTAAAATGTGAAGGCCCACTTCATATGTTTATAGAACTTTGTGAATCTGTGCCAACAGAGAAGCACTCTCGGTGGATTTTGACATATTATTATGGAAGTTATACTTCGCGTTGTGATGTGATGACTACTGCGTCAGGGATGCCAACTTCCAACCCGACCAATAAACGAAACCAAATGTAAACTCTAAGCGTGGCTATATAACTAATAAGAAATAACCCAAGATCGAAATAATAGCTCAGCGGTTAAACAGGACAAAAAGCTCTTTAAATTATGTATGAAATGAAAATGAAGAAATGCATAAAAATGATACCACGAAAAGTTAAGTTAAGAAAATCTAAATTTTAAAAAAGAAATGTTAAGAAATGCAATAATTAATATTATACGTTCATTAATATATGTAAAATGCACCCACATAACACCTGTTTTATACTACATGAATGTATTTTTACCTCGTATTTAAAATCACCTCTCAAATTTTTGGTGCTTTTAGTCGAAATTTTGAAGTTGGTTCTAGGGGGATATTTTGTAGTTGGCAACACCGAAGTAAGAACTTTCAAGTTTCAGTTTTGTTTATTGTTACTTGATTGGTTAAGAGTTATAAGCAGTGATTTACTATTTTTATTTGGTTAAATTCTTTAGCACCAACGTGTGTAAAACTGTAAATTGGTCTTAGATGCTTTATAATAAACATAGTTTAAAACATAGAGATACTATCAGCTTATCTATAATACGGTGTACAATATGGAAATAGATAAAGAAGAATCAAAACAAACGACAGAAGATATTAAAATATGTATACCTGGTATGCGCATAAGTGCATCTAATAAAGAAACTATGTCAGGGGCTGGAACATATGAATTAGATGGTTACATATACACGTATCTTGCAGGAATATTGAAAACACAATATGATGAGGTTAAAAAGGTTAGTTTATCCAGATGAGATATTAATTACATTTTTTTTTGGTTTACAAACAAATTTATAATATATACTGAATTTTTTGCTTTTCAGGCGAATATTTTATCCATAGAAAGTCCAAAAAGCCCCAGTGTCCTTCCTCAAATGGGAGATATAGCTACAGCAAGAGTAATAGCTGTAAACTCCCGGTTAGTACAATGCCAGATACTTTGTGTGGGTCCAACAGTGTTAGCTAGGCCATACAGAGGAATTCTGAAAAAGGAAGATATAAGAGATATGGATAAAGATAGAATTGATCCCTATAAGTGCTTTAGACCTGGGGATGTTATTTTAGCAAGAGTTGTATCCTTTTAAACTAACCAAACTATTTTTGAGGTTTAATACTTAGATCGATATGATATGATTATCATTTCAACAGTATTTCATATTATTATTTAAAGTGACAGACAAGTAATGTGTACATAACATCCAATTACTTTTAGTGGAATATAGTATGCTTTTAATATGATATTGCTTTATATAGAACAAATTTAATTGTATTTGATACTACCATTTTTTTACTACTTTAAACAAAATCAGTTACCAATGACAGAGCTGCATGCTTATCATCTATCCACTGCAGAAAATGAGCTTGGTGTCGTAATTGCAACTGCTGAAGGTTCTCCACAAGGAGTAAGCATGGTTCCAATCAGCTGGTCTGAAATGCAGTGCCCTACAACATTAAACAAAGAGCCCAGGAAAGTAGCAAGAGTAATACCTGAAACTATCAATAAAGAATTTGTCTTTGCAAGTCAACCTGAATTGGGCAAGAGTTAAAAATAAAACACTTATTAAAATTTTAGTTTTTTATTCAATATATAGTACAAAAATAGTTTATTTATAAATTTTTGTTATGTATGTATAAATATATAGTTATCATGTCAAAACGAAGAGACTGGCTGCCCATGACACAGGGAACCCTAGTGTGGGGGTAGTGCTCTTTATTTTACCTCCATATTCTGTTATTGTGTGCAAATAATAAAGTTTTCCTTTCTTTCTTTCAATAATACAAATACCTATAAAAGTAAATATAATCATATTAAACTAGCGGATTGTCCCATGTTCGCCAAAGCCCTGAACATTTGTTCAATAATTAATATTTTATAGTCTATGTTCATCAAGGAAAGATTTTTCAAATCGGTCCAGTAGTTTTGAAGCCTTCAATGCAAATAATAATAAAAAATTATCTTTATAGATGTAGAAGGAAGTTTGTTCCATTAAAACTTTCTTTATATTTATGAAGTAATTTAGAAAAAAGACGACAATTTATATTAAGTATCTAGTAGTGCGTAGAATGAAACAGTTTATTGACATTAAACAGCTGATAACGAAATGTCATTTATACCAAAAAAACGTCAAAATACAAAAAGATTTCAGATACTTTTTAGAAATTTTACGCTTAAAAGTAAGGTCGCCGTTGAGTTATTTAATGTAAATCGATTTCGAACTCTTCGTTATTTATATACGTAGATATCAATCATTCCATTGTGTTATAGATGTACTTTTCATGATGTCATGTTACACAAACTGTTATTTACAAAGAGATACTTTGATAGTTTGTCCCCTGTTCTAGTATAATTTATAAGGCATTGAGCATTCGCTACAGTGATTTTCAGTCTTTTACACGGTATAGACGCCTTGAAGATTCTCAGAAATGAAGTTCGCGGAACATTTAAGCGCTCATATAACGCCTGAATGGCGAAAACAATATATTAACTATGAGGTATGTATATAGTTATAGAAAAATATATTTATATAAATCAATTTACTATAGTACAAAATTCTTAACTTTTTTATGATAGGTATTCATTATTTTTATGGAGTTGGCTAAGGACTATACTTAGTGCCATGTTTCAAGTAAAATAATGAATCAATGTTATCAAAATATGATGTATTCACATGTAAATCTTTTAAATAAATTGTTTTAAGCCTTATCTTTATGAGTTAGTTAAATAAGGTTGGTATTACATTTGCTGAATGAATGAGATTGTATGACCATAAACTTATAATTTTATTTAATCTTATATCTTTAGATTATAAAATAAAAAGATTAAGCATATTTTTATGGAATTTTAAAAAGTCTAGAAACTCAATAACTCCTGGAATTTTGTCTGTGTAGAATTGTTTAAGAAGAAAATCAATTAATTATTGTGAATGTTTATATAAATAGTTTGTCAGTGTGTTATGTGTGCCTTTGCGTTTGAAATTGATAAACATCCTTTCACTATTAAATACTTACAAAACAACTAATAAGATTGTATTATTTTTAGTATGACTGTCCAATGATATTATATATCATCAAAATTTATGATAAATATTATTTATTTCTTAAGATAAATGATGTTTTGTTTAGAATTTATCAGTTTATAATTTAGTATCTGGGCAGAAAATGCAAGCATTCTTTTGCTTTATCTCATTCAACAGTGCATAGAGATAAAGGCCACCTAAAATTAAGCGATTATCTATGTGAATCAATTTTTTTTACTTACAATGACTTGGAGCAGAGCAGAGCATGATGGAAAATTATTACCAATCTTTTAATCAAAAAACTGGAAACAAAAGAAACTTATGGTTTTGATATTTTAGGAAATGAAAGCCATGTTGTATACAGCAGTAGAGGAAGCCCCGTCGGCAGAGAATGTTGAGCCAGAAGTATTGTCCAGACATTTTGCCAACTTTGATGAAACATTCTTTCATTACTGTGATGAGGAACTAAAGAAAATCAACACATTTTATTCTGGTATGGTAGCTTTAGTGGCAGTGGTGCTTAAAGTGTCATGATAATAATAAGAAATAAGAGTAATTTTAACATTTTAGAAAAGTTGGCAGAGGGAACAAGAAAATATGCAACTTTGCAGAGTGAGTTAAAATCTCGATTTGATACAATGAAACCAAAAAGTGGAGGTGATAGCAAAAAAGCAGTACCACGACGAAAATTACAGGAATTAAAGCTGGCATTTAGCGAATTTTATCTTAGTTTAATACTACTACAAAACTACCAGAATTTAAATTATACAGGATTTAGGAAGATATTAAAGAAACATGATAAGGTATATTATAATATATATTATATTGCTTAAGTTTAGTGACATGATTTTTAACATTTGTGATCAATTAAACAAATCAATAATTTAATTTAAGTTATTAAATGTGAGTAATGGGGCGCAATGGCGGGCAGAGCATGTAGAGACGTCACATTTTTACACAAATAAAGACATCGACAGATTGATCAGCGACACAGAGGCTACAGTCACAAATGATCTCGAAGGTAATGTAAGAGTAGTATATAGAATAGCAACTAAAAATGAAAAGTTCTTTCAATCTGAAATCTACTTTCATATCTTATGCCCTTTTCTATTGTCTTTGACTGATACTTTGGTGAATAATCGCACTTCTAATAAGGCATACTTGCCCTAGGAACTAAAAACATGACACGAGCTTACTCCTAGTCTGTTATGAAAATGTTTCTTTAATATATTTACTAGCGCATTAAAGTGTATACCATTCAAATTATGAGAGCTACTCAAGAGGCCATCAACAAAAAATACCTCAGAAAAGAGCCAACCTGATCTCGCTTAGACTTAAGCGTTACTATTCTGGATAAACAGCTATGAGCACTATTCATTAACTGAGTAGTAATGTGAGTACGTGATTGATTGGATTTTTTATGTACAATGGGGGTGTTTGACTAATTCTTTTATATGAATTTGTTTAAGTGTATAGATGATTAAAAATCAATGTCGAAGAACCTAGTGCCGTACCACAGTTGGGAGGTGCCGCAAAGTCCCTGCACACTTTTTAAGTGGAGACTGTTGCAGGGCAATATAGTCTATTTATACTGTACGGCATTTGTGCACTCCTGTTAAACACATATACAGCATAAATTTTACCCTTAAACGCCTTACATATTTCTAGCGGTAAGCAATCGATAGCCACTAGGGTCGGAACCCTACCCCTCACAACCAACCAATGCTTAAAAGGTCATTGTAAAAGACGGCAACCCATGTTCGAAAGTATTATTTAACACGAGACAATAATGTTTTATAATTTGCCTCTCAAAAACAATAGTTAATTTTTTTGCTGTGAATTAAATTTTATATAATATAGATTTCAGGATTTACCAAGTTCTTACTGCTGTAAGAGAATCTTACAGCCAGTCTGTTTTTTCAATTAATTTGCTCAATTGTTGTACAGTCTATAGTCTTTCATTATAAATGGTAACAATTAAAAAATATGATAAAAATTTGAAATTTCGATAAATTTAGATGAATTTTCTAATGCTCCTAAAGTAACGTATGGGGTGTCATAGTTTCAAAGATTAATATTATTTTATATGTAACAAATATAAATTAACAAAAAAACCAGATGCCGTACATTTTACTCCAGATTATTTTTTACAGCTTATACAAAACTTCGACGACGTTTGAGGTGTCCCTTAAGGTCATAAATAACTGTACATATCTGAGAACTACCATAATGCTATAAAGTATATTTACAGCTCTTATCGTACGTATATAGAGGTAAGAAAATATTTTTTAACAAAAATGTTTATAATAAGGGCGTCCCAAAGTTAAATATGAAGGGTTAGTACCTTAAATATCGCAGATAATGCTCAGTACAAAAAGATTTATGTTATTTATAAAAAGTTTAGTAATTTTGCATTCTATAGATGCTGGGAAGCTTTTAGAAACTCTAATTGCCTCGTTTACTGGAAATCAGCCGGCTCAGTAGTGTGAACAGAAATTCACTACTTTTCTGTCTTTATGTCAATCGAAAGAATGGCCAAACAACCTAATAAGTTTTCTAAACTGTCTTAGACATGACCCGTATATTTACTTTTTAGGCCGAATACGATAGAAATTTTTTAATTTGATTAAAAAGATATATTCACGCTGTTACTTTTTTTAAAATACTATATTAACTTAAGAAGAGTTATTAGTTTTTGGCCATTCTTTCGATTGGCATCATAAAAGTAGGGGGTTTTTTTTTAGCATTTAAGTCCAGTTCGAGTTCCCGACGAGGTCAAGTAATTTTTTAAAAATCTTTGAATGCAGAATTAATAACTTTTAAAAATAACATAAAGTCTTCTTTTAGTGAAATACCCTATCTACGATATTTAGAGGTACTTTCCTTCTTTTCCCAACAAAACTTTGGACGCCCTTTTTGGTAGGCTGGTAGCGGACTATTGAAAGTGTATGGCATTTATATTTTTATTGAAGATTGTCTAAAGTAATAATTACCTGTGTTATTGCCGTTTTTCAGATAAAAGTCACCCGAAAATGACTCTTTTCTGATGTAAATTTTCCCATACACCTATGTGTTCCACAAAAATGTACGGCATGCTGGAAAAAGTTATCTATTTGTCAAGTACTCTTTCCAAGATCATTTAATTTTATGTTGATTCATATCATCATCACCTATGTGCTAATCCGAGCCATATGTTGCGACCCTTGGCTTTCGACCGCTCCGTTTTTGGGAATATGTACGGCGTTTACGGGTAGAGTATCTGTATATGTGTCCAAAAGGGATGACACAAATGCCGTACAGTAATAAATGACCTATATTGCTCCTGCAACTGTCGTCGAATTAAAAATTTGCACCGACTTCCGGCACCATCACTTTTGTACGGCACTAGGTTTTTCGACATTTATTTTTAATCATCTATACACTTATAACAAAGCCGTACATTAATAATTAGTCGAAATTCCCCCCATTGTACATGAGAAAGTCCATTCACTCACGTACTCACATGTACCGCTCAGAAATGACGGCATAGTGCTCAGAGCTATTTTCAGATATAGTAACAGCCTTCTAAGCGTAATTCACGTTGGGTCATTTCACAGGGTTTTTTTTGTTCATGGGCTTGTGGTCTACTACTCAAGAGGGCTCAATATATGTCAGAAAAGGAGTAATCTTCTCTCTTAGACTTAATTCGTATATTCTAGGATAAACATGCTATAGCTTAATAATTAACTAGTACAATTCGATTGGATTCATTGAATTTTATTAGTGGAATTGCGTTGTTTGTAATTCTTTTTATATTCATTGCAGGAGGTGACAGACAAAAAGCAATGAAGAAGTTGCGTGTCCCACCTTTGGGAGAGCAGCAAAGTCCCTGGACTACGTTTAAAGTGGGACTGTTCTCAGGGTCCTTTATAGTTTTATTTATCACTGTTGTACTCTCAGGTAAAACTAAAAAAAAACATAAATTTTAATTTTAACTACTTTTTCTTCTAGCTTAAGAAATCATATCTCACTAGGTAATATTACCGAAAAAAACGAACCAATGCTTAGAAGGACGCTCTCGTCAGCCTGGCAATATTTCCATTGGGCGGTAGTATCACTTAACATGAGATTCTGCTCCACTCTCCTCTAAAAAAACAAATAGAAAACTTTTTTCGCTGTGAATGCAATTTAATATAATATAGATTTTTGTTGTGCAAATCTTCCGCTTAAGAAAAGTCTTTACATTCCAGTCAGTGTTAATTGAATTAACTTGTTCATTGTTAGGACAAGTCTATAGTATTATTTATTACAATGCAAAAAAATCGAATGTGATTCATATTTCATTCCATTAATGCAGGGAATCTTCTAATCTTAAATAACGGTAAAGGTTCTCAAGTTCCAGATAAATAAAACCTTAAAGCAAATAAACCTATCTCTAAACCAACATGAAGTTGCAATCTGTTTATTTAATGCAAATTTACTAAACCGACCTATTTAATCTCGCCACGGTCATAGATAAGGAATATTTGTGACATAATTTATAATCTATTTGCACAGCTTCCATCGTATGTATATTGTATATAGATGCTGTGTTTTAAATTTATTGTTTTAATAGCGCAATATAATATGGTTATTACATTAAGCTCTTATAATGCTCAGTAATAAATTATGATTTAAATTGAGGAACTTTCCATTCTATAGATGGGGGAAGCTTTAGAAGCTCTAATGGCTGAATAACGTGTTTACGAATTTAGCTAGAATTGATGACTTTGAATGAATTGAGAAGAGATGACTTTAGGTTCGCAAATCTTTACCTTAAAATTACGAGTTTATGGTATAGAATGGGTACTCAGTGTAAGATGAATTGTTTTAAAGTGAAAAGAGAATTCGCTTGAAAACGTAATTTTCGAAGCTCATTAAAATAAAATGCAGCAAACCATAGGTTTTGTTCAGATGGTAAACAAAAATCTTTCTGGTGCATTTCTTTGTAAAAATATTACAGAAGCATAAAGTTCTCAGATTTTACGTTGTGGGGAAAAATGTGGGAAGTACATTTTTCCACAAAACGCAAAATCCAGCTACTATACATTAACTGACTACAATTACCATAAATAGCAATATCATTTACAAAGCCTTTTCTTTTCAGCACTTTTCCATGAAGGCGGCACAGAAAACTTCAAAACGGCATTTCGGTTATACCGTGGGCCATTTCTTCTTGTTGAATTTATCTTCCTACTAGGAATTAATGTGTACGGCTGGCGTAGTTCTGGAGTCAACCATGTACTGATTTTTGAACTGGATCCTAGAAAACATCTTTCCGAACAGCATCTTATGGAACTCGCTGCTATCTTTGGTGTTGTGTGGGCGCTCAGTATTTTAAGCTTTATTTATAGGTAAGTGCAGAAGAAATTGTGTAAATTGGTTTTGTATACTTAGGTAATTATTTCCGAGTTTATCCTATACAAATTATTTCCTATAAGAATTCAGGATGTAAGAATATAAACCACCGAAAGTCCAGATCAAATTCCTGGCAATAAAATGTACAATTTGGACAGCCTATAAAAGTAACCTAACTTTACCATGAGTACTATACTACTACTACGATACTAAGTATTGAAGACTAATATCTACGTAAAATTATTTATAATATTAGGTCCTTACATATGAAATTGGCGTTTTTCGTACTGGCCACTTTAATCACGATGTTCTCCTTTTTGGTAAGGAATTCCAAATTCAAATTTGTACAGCTATTTACTCATGTATTTGTGCTTTGATGACCGTCATTCATTTGTTTTTTTTCTTCTGTTTTTTTCTGTTTACGTCACTCATTTTACAAAATGGAAAACTTAAAGTATCGCATTATTTACGAGTACGAGTTCCGCCGTGGCACTAGTGCTGCGGAAACGACTCGAAGGGTGAATGATGTGTATGGCGGTCATGTTGCAAAAGAAAACACAGTTCGTTTTTGTTTCCAACGTGTTCATTCTGGAAATTTCGACCTGTAGAACAAGCCCCGTGGACGCCTGAGACCCAAGTTGATAATGAAGTATTGAAGGCTATTGTGGAAGCGGATCCATCGCAAACCACGTCCGAGTTAGCTGCAGGCTGCGGTGTTAGTGATAAAACTGTTTTAATTCACTTGAAGCAAATTGGGAAGATTAAAAGGCTTGAAAGATGGGTACCTCACGAATTGACTGAAGCAAACCGGCAAACGCGCGTCGACTGCTGCGTTACATTACTGAACCGGCACAACAATGAAGGTATTTTAAACCGAATCATTACCTGTGATGAAAAATGGATTCTTTACGATAATCGGAAGCGCTCAGCGCAATGGTTGGATCCTGGCTAGCCAGCCAAATCCTGCCCCAAGCGAAAATTAACCCCAAAAAAGTTACTTGTAAGCGTTTGGTGGACTAGTGCCGGTATTGTTCATTGCAGTTTTCTCAAATCTGGCCAGACTATTATGGCTGATGTCTATTGTCAGCAATTGCAAACCATGATGGAAAAGCTACCGGCTAAACAACCTAGGCTGGTCAATCACTCCACGCCACTGCTTCTTCACGACAACGCTAGACCACACACTGCACAACAGACGGCTACCAAATTAGAAGAGCTTCAATTGGAATGTCTAAGACATCCTCCGTACTCCCCGGACCTTGCTCCAACAGATTACCATTTTTTTCGAAATTTGGACAACTTCTTGCAAGGGAAAAAATTAAACTCTGATGGGGCAGTCCAAATCGCCTTCACAGATTTTATTGATTCCCGTCCGACTGGTTTTTTTAGTAAAGGGAATAATGAACTACCTATGAGATGGCAAAAGTGCATAGAAAACAATGGTTCATACTTTGATTAATTAAATATATTATATTTAAAAATATTCGACTTTTTGTTCCTCCCATACAAAACGCCAATTTCATATGTAAGGACCTAATATAATAATCATTTCATGATTAGGTTTTATAATACAAATACGCAAGTGAGTTTATTATTATTTATTTTGGATTTTATTATTAATAAATTTCCAGTGCAAGTTTGAGTATACCGCCATTCGTGAATCCATTGGCGTTAGTTGTGATAATGTTGGCCTTCCTCATGAATCCTCTCAGAGTATTTCGTCACGAGGCCCGCTTCTGGTTTCTAAGGATATGTGTAAGTTTTTAACTGACTTTGCAAGTTTGATTTTCCTGTCGAATACCTAATAACTAATTGCTGGGAATCGAACCGTTTATCACTGGTTTTACTAAGAAACGATGGATGTTTAGGGTAGTCTGTTTCTTCAATTATTTTAAAATAAAGAAACATATATGTTTATAGAACACCACTATTTATTATTATTGATTTGATACAATGAAATATGACAGAATGATTTAAAAAAATATTAAACGTGCTCTCGCGTTGTTGACTCGCAGCGCACTGGTGCGGGGAATTACTATTAAATAATATATGATATATATAATACATGCTACAGATGAAAAATACATCGTGCAAAACGAATTAATATATTTGTCAAGTAGATATGTCATTGTTTCATTAATGGGTTTCAAACATCGCACTCATATTGCTTATTTAAGAATAAGTGGCACATTCTTAACCCTCAGTTTCGAATTATGTTTGATTTGTTTGAACTTTACTTTCTATGTGCGAATTTAACACTCATCGATGAAGGCAAACATGAGGAAATCGGTATGCTTTAGAACCAAAACTGGACGGCATGCGTCAGGTACAGAATGCTAATCACCTACTTCCCTATTAGAAACAAAAAATCCAGTAACAGATACAGAATTCTGATGCCAAGACCAACGGTTATAGTCTGTTTTTTATCTATTTACGTTCCCTGTTAAACCATAACTGTTATTAAGTTTTTGCATGGAATACATTTAGAAACCTAAATTTATAAGTGATCAGATAATAGAAAAATAATGTTAAATATAATTGTAATTAATTTTTAGGGCAGGATCCTAGCGGCGCCATTTATGCCCGTTCTGTTCGCGGACTTCTGGCTAGCTGACCAGTGGAACTCATTTGTGTTTGCATTTCTCGATTTTCACTACCTTGTGGCATTCTATGTGGCCGGAGCGGATTGGTTTGATGTTAATGGTAAGATATTCTCATAGATAATGCCGGACGAAAATGTGGAAATTTATGTTGTTTGACTTTGTATGCATTTATTTTTATAATCGTTGTCGTAAAAAGATCGTCTCAAATATCTACTTAATAATTAAACATATTATGTGTTTTTTTCTTTATGTGTTTTTTTCTTAATAATTATAAACTGTGTTTCATATTTGTGCTTAAATGTGTATTTTCTTTTTGCGTTATTGTTAATGTATTTATTTTATTAGCTAGCTGTAGGTATCTAATAATCAAAAGATTTCTTCGTAAATAAATTTTTAATGCCTGAATTAATTTTACGATTCTGGCGGTCTGTAATAAAACGAAGAATGTGGTGCGAGAAATAGCTAGTCTAATATGAAGTTTTGGTATTGTTTGTTTAATTTTCCATTGTTTCTGTTTTGCGTCTGACTTGCGAAAATAATACCTTCTCTAGTTCTTCCAAGTCACGCGTTTTGTTAATTGACGCAAATATAGTATTGAAGTTTTTTAAAATAATTTTACTATATTTTGTTTATTGCGTTCTATGCAACAAAATAATACATAAACAACTAATATTTATTTTATTTTTGGTCATATAACCGATAATTTCAGACGAATTCGAAACAACGAAATGGTACATAATATCTCGTGCCCTGGTGAACATAATCCCTGCTTGGACACGTTTTTGGCAATGTCTCCGCCGTTACCGGGACAGCAAAGAGGCGTTTCCCCATCTTGTGAACGCGGGGAAATATTCTACTACGTTCTTTGTGGTTCTGTTTTCGACTTTGAGGATTATATATAGACGTAAGTAACTTTTTATTCGTCTTTGTCTAATATTGGCTAGGCTAGAATCTGTTTCATAAATATCTTTTAATACTTCATTAAGAAAAACATTAAAAACTTCTGATCTGAATTGTTTTAACAATTAAACTAAATCAGTTTTTGAAGGGTTTTAAAATAGTGTCGCTTCCGAGATAGAATCTCTATATTTTGATCAAGTCTATGAGAAAATAATTAAGAATAATATTTATTCCATTATCTCAACTTCAGATAGACAAAGTATGGAGCGTTTTTACTTTTACTATTATTTTAAATTACCCTCGGTTTACTTTTTGACAGCTGAATTTTTATAAGTTCGTGTTCGTTCTCACTAGTAATAAATAATAATAATAATTTTTTCTTTTCTTATTAACAGTCTTTACATAGCGAAATTAATAATTTATTAGCAATTAGTTGCAAAATAGGAATAGCTCTTTTTGAATAGTTTAGCAAAAAAGTTTCCCACAGCAAACTACTCAAATACATACGACAATCCGTGGCTATACGCGTGGATGGCATGTCAATTCATATCGTCGTGTTACACGTACACTTGGGACGTTCGAATGGATTGGGGGCTTCTCACTGTCGGACCTGCAGCGGAGAATGCCTTGCTTAGAGATGAAATCGTCTATAGTGTTTGGGTAAGTGTTTAGGCCCATGGGCCTGGGTGATAAGCCTTTTTGTTTGACAACCTAATTTGGACTCTTATTGAGACTGCCAAGTATCAATTCCGAATGTCACAATCTGTTAACCAAGTTACTAATTCTCAACTTGAATACTTCTTAGTCTGAAAACAATAGATTTAGATAATTGTTTATCGGACCTTTGTTTTTCGTCCACTTGTGACATTAAAGTCGTAATAAAAAATAATAAGGAATTAATGTGAAATTATCTACTATTATATTTGGATATATATGTGGATTGACTGATTCAAAGACTCCACTCTACTCCCAATAGTGTTTGAGGAAAATTAATCAATCAGAAAAGCAGTAATGCGGTCATGTGCCAATTTATATTTCTAGATTATTAGCATATGGCATGTACTGTTGAAGCCCCGTCTGCTTTATGCTCAATTGGGAACACCTTTTGGGCATAAAGCAGAAACTTCTTTGTCTTTGTTGAATAATAATTTGTTAGAACTAAAATAAGGTTTTGCGAAAGCCACGATTTTACCATAGATTAATAAAAAATATGATAACTTACTTTACTAAATGTTTTCTCATATATTTTTATAGTGTATTGAGCGTCTGTTGCTAACGGTAGCAAATACTACCTACAGAGATAGCAAATACGTTTTCAAACCTTTTGTTTTAAGAAGGCGTAAAAATCATACAAATTTTTTTTTAGTTCTATTACTTCGCAATAATAGAAGACCTAGTGTTGCGTTTCATTTGGGCACCTGCGTTCCTCTTAACGGAGAACCAATTAGTTAGCGGCGAAACGATGGTCTCCATACTAGCGCCCTTAGAAGTTTTTAGGTGAGTATTTCAATATTTTCCTATTTATTTCCGCGTTTAATTTTAAAACGTTCTCGTCTGTGTCTGAATCGATATTTTTCTAATCTAATCTTTCTGAAGAAGCAACATTTACGTTTAATTAATTCATTCATACTGGCTCAAGTAGTTGTATAGTGGACTTGTCTCGAAAAAGTGTGGATTTTATTATCGTATAAATTACATGCTTTTAATTATCTATAATTTATGGTATACACAAGGCAACAAATATGCATATAGATTTGTTTCATGTTTTGTTGTCTTCAAAATTTCGGCATATCTTTAAATTTTTAATATTATTTGTCCGTAACCAGTCAATACAACATGGGGCAGATACGTTTAATTTTTGACGCAAATACATATATACCTTCTTTGCTTGGAATCGAAACCAGAACCTCCACGTTATATATTCGAAATTCATTTCCAGACGTTTCATATGGAACTTCTTCCGCTTGGAAAACGAGCACCTCAACAACTGTGGTAAATTCCGTGCCGTTCGGGACATATCGGTGGCGCCACTTGATTCCTCGGATCAGGCTCTAATACTGCGAATGATGGATTTGCCCGATGGCGTTGTTAATAGGTGAGAGCGGAAAATTGATTAATATAACTTCACGGCAATAGATTTTTGCTATGGTCATTTTAACAGGCTTCAATCATAATTTTTATAAGAATGCTATAACGGTGTTTAAATTTGATTAACATAATGGTATTGATCGTAATTTTATTTTATAGCTTTCCCAGAGGCATATTGGTTTAACGTTTTATTATTGCCAGTTAATAACTAAATTAAATGAATAAAGTAATATATTCTGTAAAGCAATCTAACATTGAGTTATTTAAATGCAATAATGCGTTTATCGACTTTTAATGACCATGATACTTTGTATGAAACTGTATTATGTTTTTCAGGCAAACGAAGAAAAAGAATCCAAAAAAGATAAAAGAGAACGACCGAAAACCACTCTTGAAGAAAGAGTCTATACATGACCTTCAACTTGAGTTAGATTTGTCCTCCAAAATGTTGTAACAAACTGTGATATGTAGCGTACGAGATATTCTCATTGTAAGCGTTATTATGAGTATTATTAAATATATTATTTTATTGACTTTTTTTAATCTACAGTCGTTTATAAAAACAGGTTTATGTATTCGTCAATTTGTGTTTATACTGTGAAATAATAAAGAGACATAATTGACAGATTTTTTTAAATATCTCAGGTCAAATTAGCAGTAGGCTCACCTGATGTTAAATGATACCGCCGGCCATAGACTCCCAATGTCAAAGGACTCACAAGTGCGTTGCTGGCTTTTTAAACTTTTTTATGTATAAGGGGGTAAATGTTTACGCGTACCCGTAATCGCGCATTGCACAGACACGTTTCTTGACACGCATCGATCTTTGGCGTCTATATCTTAGATATTAATTATTATATAGAAAGTAAATCTCATTGGTTCTCACAACACAGCACTAGAACGCACGGGCTCGTGGTTGAAAGCACGCTTGATCTAGTATTAATTATTGAATTAACTAAGGACCTTTTAGACGCAAATAAATATTTAATTCATAAATTTATTGTAAACAATATCACAATTAGAAATATTACTTAAAATGATTCACAAAATACAATTATTTGTGATTAAGTAAGTGTAAGTTAAATAAGCAGTTTTTAATTAGCGTTTAATCTGCCACATTTTTTTTTTAAATTTAGACGCTGCTCAAAATATTATGGATTCAAAAATATAGGCTTTATAGCCAAGTTAGACAAAGTAATCGTAGTTCGCGTAACATTAAAACAATTGACGTATTTTGCGATAAATATGTCAAATATCTCAATATATCGTAAAGCTTCTTCATACAAATTGTATTATAGAAGTCAAACGCAAGCCCTAAAAAAACAAAAGTTTTCGTATGACTATCAATTGACAATGTGCAGTAATATTTCCCAGTATGGCTTTCATACCATTTTAGAAGTGAAATTAAACACATTTTTGAATCCGAAACAAACAGCAAACAATGGAAATCCCTCTAATTATTAGTTTAAAATCGTCAACATTCGATTTCTATTAATACTTCCGTTAATTAAAGATCTTAGTACTTTTATAACATTTATAAAGTTCAAAATAAATAACGCACAACATATATTTAATACATTTAGTTAAATAAGGCGGGGCTAGGAATAATAAAAGGATTGGGAAGAGATAAATTATCAAGGATTTAAATTACATACTAAAATGTTGCTAGCCCCGCTTCATACAACTTAAAAATAGTGCTCAAAATCTTTCCAATATAATGCATACAAACGTAACATCTATTAAGGCATTTTTTCTTCCAGAGTATTCTTCGTATCTAAAACAATAAAATAATTTAATCCTATTGTTTAAATTACAGAATTCACTTGATGATTTGTGTCTAGCTTAAGTTTATTTTCAGAAGCCAGAGTCTTTATGTTAACAGAAATTATTACAGGTTTATACTCTTAAAGGATCTTAAAAGCAGCAGTGTTGGCCTAATGGCTTCAGTGGGCGGACGTTCCCCGAGGTCGTAGGTTCGATCAGCTGTGCACAAATAAACTTTTTGTCTATGTGCGAACGATGAAGGAAAACACCGTGAGGAAACCGTCGACGGGATGTGACAAGTACAGATCACCTACTAGATAAATACTTGCCTATAGTATTGTCTTTGATTTACATAACCTTTACACATTTAAAGAAAAAACTGTTTGACCGGATTGAAGTTATGTGTCACCGTGACCACGCACGCTGTAAAGCACGCGAAACGTGGGATAAATTTTAAATTATGTTAAATAGTTGTAAATTTATAATAATACATAACTTCAATCCGGTCAAACAGTTTTTTCTTTAAATACTTGCCTATTAGATTGACATTATCATGACACTGATACAGAATTCTGAGGCCCAGACCTTAAAAGGTTGTAGCGCCACTAGTTTCTTTTTTTTAAATTCTCTTAATAATAACTGCGCCGAATGTTACTCCACGTGCAAAAACTGGCCAAATTGTGAAAACTTTCCTGTGCAGGATTATCTATACCATAAAATGTTAAAAATCATTTCAAAAGACATTGTTACCTTGTAAGGCCTTAATCAGGCTGGTTAGTTGTAAGATATTATGTTATAAAATTGTATATGTATAGTAATTTGGTGCATATGTTCATCTGTGAATATTTTCCTTAGAAAATATTTTTATTACCTATGAACGTAGAGCCTGTAATCTAGATTGCATCTCATCAAGTTCACTTTCATCAGGTTCCTCAGTGACCTTTTGACTTGTTGAAGGAGCTCCTACAGCTGTGGGCGGAGCCGGTGCTTCACCCAGCTTGCCTTGGGTAAGTTCCCATAGCACCTATAAGATTTTAATTTCCTTTTATTGTACTAGACTATTCTGATTCTGATGTTATTTTTTCTTGTGTCATGTTTAAAATTACAGCTTTACATGCACATGCAAGGCATGGGGTGTTGAAACATTGCCAATTTCCTAATTTAGTCCACTTGAAATTGTTATCTTTAGTAAGACATTAGCTTACCTTATCAACTTCACTCTGTGCTGCTTCCTCCATTTCTTCTTCATCTTCCATGCCAGACATAGTTTCATCTACCATTTCCTCAATAATACCAGCTTTCATCATTTCTTTACTTAAGTCTTGCATTGTTTGAGCAATCTCCGGTAACCTAAGCAGTGCCTGCATAGCTTGCATTACCTAGTAGAGAAACTTGCATACAGTAAATACATGATGTAGTTTTATTGTGACAATTAACAACATCTTTCCATTGGTTTTATTATTTGAAACAAACATTTCAAAATATATTGTTTTCAATTTAAAGTTTATAATATATCTAGGTAAGATATGAATTCTTATGTATTATTTTTCTGTAAATATTTACAATATCTTGTTTGTTATAACATTTTCTATATGTTAAATGTTTTAAGACTTGCCTATAGTTATAACTTGTATTTCTTTTTCTAATGTCTCTGTGTTGTTTCTTAATAATATAATTCTCTGCAAATAATATCTACAAGGCAAAATATAAATTTATTTTTCGATTAAACACTAAACTAGAACATACCTCAGTTGATTTTTGTAAAGAACCAGCAACCCGTAATGTTGCTGTAATAAAAAAATATAGAATAATAATTATTAGTATATAAAATGTTATATCAATAATTTGACTACTTAAACCAAACACATCTATAAAGAAAAAAAGAGGTATAATGGCAAATCAATTATGAACTACTTTTCTTACTTGCTAGGCAAAACATAGTTTGTATAACCCATAAGTCACGAGTTTGGTTTCCAGTAACACAGAAATTTCTAGCTGACAGTTATAGAAGACTGATCTAAAGTTTTAGACTTATAAATAAAGTTTTAAAATTTTTAATGTCTACCACATTGGACTTAACAAGGCAACACTATACTATAGTGTTTATTACACTATAAATAACAGGGAAATTGTCAAAGGCAATGTAGAAATGCTTAAAAATTTAATAAGTTTGGAGTTATTAGATTAATAAAAATTAAAAGAATAAATTACCAAGTTGATTCTTCATTTGCATCTGCACAGAATTTAAATGTGCTTTACTAGTGTATATTTTACTTATTGCTTTTCTAGACCTGATTATTTCTTTGGCCAGTATGGTGCAAACTTGTTTATCACTTTTAGATGCTGCTTCCTTTAAAGATCTTTTAATTTTTTCTTCTTCCCTTTGAATTGCTAAAAATGATATATATATACTGCATATCCATCTCAAGGTTAATGGTAGTCTTTTAGATTATATGTTTAAAAATTGTAGGCACATTAACCCAACCCATTTAAAAGTTTTAAAGAGACCAAAAGAAAGAATGTAATCCAAAAATAAACTACTGTTCTTGATATCCCTGAATACAGGCAGTGTGTGGGCAGGTACATCTTGTGAATTTAGTTGTTTTTCAGAGAAAGTTTTTCAAGAGTGCAAAGTATTGTACAAGTAGGTGACTCATTGTTATCATCACCTGACTTGTTATTGTATTTAATAAGCTACCGTAACTAGATTGTCTTTACCTCGTATTTGCCTGTCTAAATTATATCCCTCTTTTCGTAATTTATGAGACCACTCGTTTACCTTAAATAAAATTACAATATAGTTTCGATACAACCAATAAAATAACTATATATGACAATTATAACTATGCAAACCATTTCTTTTGGATTCCGTTCTGGTGATTTACCGAATAGACCCATTGTTTTATTATATACTATGAAATTTAATGACAAAAATATTCTTTGTAAACAAAAATCGATTTGTTTAAAATACCAAATTGCAAATTATATCTACAATTATTTTTTTGACAACTGACGTTGGGAGGGTCATGTCGGTAGTCGGTTGACATTGACTATTATCGTTAGAAGCAGTCTGAAGAAACAGGCAAATAAAGGACTAATATTTACAATAAAAAGACATCTTGCATTATCGTCTGTCATTCGTGTTATTACCTATTTTGTTTTATGACAATTGCCTTTTATGAAAAAATAAAAGTTAACATATTTAAAAAATTACAAATGCATTTGTTTTGTTTATGTTTGTGCTTTAAGATGTGCCGGTTATAATTTGCATATACAAGTTCAGAAGAAACCAAGACTTTTTCTGTACTTTATCAATCAAATCACCGTACCAACAAGATATTACTTGGAAGGAAATAAACTTTGAGTAACAAAGGTAAGAATTTGTCCATTTCGAAGCAACACTTAATATCTTGCAACCCTGTTTTTAGATTGCTTTAATTTGTTTAAGCCCAAACACATGATATACTTATTAAATATGCCTAACGATTTTATGCATGTTTAGCAAAATATAAAACTTAAAATATGGAACTCAAGGTTCTTTAACTATAATAAAATACATAAAACTGTATCCAAATACATAATAAACATATTGCAAATGCTTATACCAGCTGTACTCAGTATTTTTATTTATTTATAACCTATAAAAGATGTATCACACTAATTTGGTTTTATATTAAATTCTTACTTAATCTAACATGCATTGTAAATATTGTTTGGTAGCTGCAGTTCCTTCACATTTTATTATTATTTATTTGAGCTACCAATGCCTATACACAATATACACAACAAACCTTTTTGTTTGGTGGATGATCAAAAAAAAAATTTTAATAGTTATAAATAAATGATTATGTACATTGACTTGATCATTTTGTTCACATTATAAAATCTTTAAATTAACCTGTAAATTAGGACTGAGTTAATCAATGGTAACAACCAAAAAAAACATTGTGCTATGGTAACAAACATAGTAGTATTTTTAAATTGCGGTATGACTATATTACAACAAGACAAAGGTGATATATATTCATCCATGTTCAATGAGGTCACTCAGATCAAAGGTCACCTGATCTCCACCACATTTGAAATCAGATTGGTACTCAAGTAGCTACCTTATTCCAAAATGATTTTAAATGTTGATCTGCTGAAACAAGTTGGTGTTTTGATTAATGATTGATAAGATTTTTAGAAAACATTGATTTCTTTACATGCTGTGTTTTAGATTAAACAAATAATTTTAATTATCATTAAAATAATATTTATATATTGAAACATTTCATTTAGAGTGTTAAATAAACTCTTTTGCTTTATGTTTTCATAAATGTTTGAGCATTTATACCTGTTTTCTTTATAAAATTATCACTAATTATCTATGTAAAATGAAATGGAAAGGCTTACAGTCTACAGTCACTACTCATAACATTAATGTTAATAACATTTACTAGCATTAAATAAAAAAACATTCGTTAGTCCTAGTCTCTAACAACATTATATTTTTATTGTTTTAATTTTTTTGTTACATATTTTTATAGTTAAGAAACAAATGAGTATTTCATTCTAGAAAAAAAGTTAGTAGAGTTTAGAGTGTTAAAGAATGTAGTGATTTGTGAAATTGAACAAATTCTTTATATTTGTTACATGGCATTAAAATATTTATGAGTAAAGTTTATTCTATAATAATTGATTATGTCAAAAACCAGAGAGAGTTCTGATTTGGTGATCACCAGAAAGGCGTTTGTTAAATCAAGTATCAAATCTCTCCCAATTGATGCATAAAATACAACATAGACTATGGACCTAAAAGTTCCTATCAGTACTTATGATTAAATAGAACTTAACATTGCACATCCTGTAGGCATTCCTTAAATAAATAATTTTCAGTATGCTGATCTATCATTTATCTAAAAAAAAATCGAGTCTAGATTGTCACTCATATCTTAACAAGCATAATTTAAATTACACAATTCTTATTGCGCTTGCGTTGCTTTGCGACATTCGTTAATAACGTACATCCGATTGCAAATGATGCAGCGACATATTTTGTATTGTACTATATTAACGAACATTGTTTATTTTTATAGGATTTTTTAGGAGCTCAGTATTTTATATTTGAATCCTATTGCAAGAATTCTACTATTCGTATATACGTGTATCTTGTTAATTTGTGAAGAGGCAAGTAAAGTATATTATATAAATTATTATAAAAGCTACGTTAACACCGTTTAACTCAAAACCCGTTTAGTTAATCCAAATTTAATAATGCCTCGGTTAGGGGCGCCGATGGCATGCCCAATTTAAATACATACTTATAAAAAGTTAAGCTACACTTAATAATTAAAGTCTTTTTTTTAATTTTTTTTTATTGGACAAATCACATGTGCTAAGAAAAAAACTCGCATATTAGATTTTTTCGAAGTAAATAATAATATGATGATATTGACTAGAAACTAGTAAAATTCATTTTATTATTGTATTTCAGGCTTTATTTATTAATATAACTACAAAGCGTTGCCGGAAACCTCGTGGAGAGTAAAAAGAACCTGTTAGAGAGCTATCTGAAATTTTCATAGACATAAGAACATAATTGTTTGACAAACAATTTTGATGAACCTAACCAGAAAACAAATAGGGGTCATACATTTCGCCAAGTTTTGACTCTTAACGCTTAATATATGCAGTTGCAGTTTTATTACTTAATTCTGCTTTTCCAACACATATAATAACGTAACGAAGTGTAAATAATTAAATAAATAATAATATTTGTCACATAATTATAAGTACATTTTAAGTGCACTAGTTCTTGAAATTAATAACTATTTACCACGAGGACGTTTTTAGAGCATCTTTTACTGTTTATCATATAATCCAGTTTAAACTATACATGAAAACTCCTTCGATACTAAAAATATTTTACGTCGACAAAGAATTCCAGTGTCTGTAATTTGATCAATAATTTGCTTCATATCTAGTTTTATAATTAACATTATTTCGATTTGTCGGAAGTCAGAGCAGATTGGGATTTGAAGGATGTATAATGGTGACAATTTTTTTCCATTGATTGAGTGGCTTTTTTTAAATCATTGATTAAATAATGATATAAAACGCTTAGGTGTTCTGTGCACGTGTTTCAGGCCAAAATATAAAAACTACAATATGCTTTTTTTCTTCGGAAATGCAATTAAAACAAATACATTTGGAATGTTATGGACATTTTAAAAATAAATAGATTATTATATTTTGGACTTTGTTACCTAATTATTGGAATTATAATATGTAATCTTTATGATTGATTAGGCTAATTACTTGTCCTGTACTTATCTACAATAACATCTAATAATTTGATACTTTGTTTATAATACCTACTGAATGCTCCAAGTACGACTATAATTCTTGAGATACTATGTGTGCTACTGTTTCCTCAAAAAACATAATTGCGCTCTATAGCAAAAACAGTGTATATTTATTAGTAAGTTCTAAAAATCCACAGTGAAACTTACTGGCGTTATAGCAAACAAAATCAATTGCGATGTGGTTGGTGGCTATGGCAAAACTTATGAAAAGTTGTTATTTTCGAACGAATTAAACGATTTTCGCTTCCAGCAACCTTATGTCATTGGGGTGCGAAGTGCGCTAGGCGAAAGCGCGCGATTTGGGGGTTTTGGAACCGTATTGCGTAATTTTAATGTCTGTTAAGGATAAAACGATTTTAAAACCTCAGTCGGACCTGTAAAATCCTTATGTGGAGACTGTAAATTCGAGTTCTAGGGTCTGGAAACAGTGAAACTCGTGAAATAACTAAATTTTCCTTTTTTCACTACAACGACAACGATTTTGCTCCTTTTCATACAACTCTGATTTTTACATGTGGGTCGATCGGGCGTTCTGTGAAAAAGAACGCTCCATACATTTGACAGAAAAACTGTTTTTTTTTCAATCCAAATTATTCATCAAAAGTTATTCGGCTTTATAATGATTAATAAGCCAAAAACTGTTAATTTAACTAAGTACATACCTCTATATTTTATCAATTTAATCTTTTCGTGTATAGCAACTAGGAAAAAATTAAATTTTTGATTAAAACTTTCCTATTTGATTATTGACTGATAAATTGATGTGATTTGACCTCTAGATGCCCGGGTTGATAAATTATCGAAACGTCAGTTTTTATTAATGTACTTTTAATTGTTTTCATACGTTCGTTATTTTAAAGCAGTCTTTCACAAATTTATTTTGATTAAACATTTGATACATTTGACATTTAATTTATTAAATGCTTCATAGGTTTATTGTTCGAGCGGGTCGGATTGGACGAGTACGTAAAGTCGGTCCTGTGTAACTCGCACTTTTCGGTGTTCATACACATCCGTCCCTTTAGGCTTTGAGAGTTGGAATAAAAATACCTGTGTTTGTCTGCATACAAATTATTCCAATATCTTCCGTGTAGATGCCATATCCTCATCGGTTTGGAGAATTTAATTAAATTGCATTTCCAATACTATATATCTTAATATATATAAATTACGTGTCACGTTGTTTGTCCGCTATGGACTCCTTAACTACCGAACCGATATGGAATCAAATTTGCATACCGTTTGTAGTTCCGAGCCAAGCACTAAAAGATAAAGCTTTCAACTCAATTTAAATGTCCGTGGTATTCATTTTATTGAATATTAGTTTATTATTTGATTTTCACAATTCTAACAAACCGTGGTGCCAGGTCGTCAGCAAACTCTTGTCAGCTATCCGTGTATTGTGGGTCCGGCATGCTCTAAGCCAAGTCGCCGCACGGTTCGAAACTGATCGCAAGGCACTGCTCCGACCGCTCAGAATGTCATTGTCTTGCGGTCGGCGTCCATGGCGGGTATGGCTCTTCGTAAAAACTGGCGAGGGCGCCGATGGCT